AACACGGCTCGTTTCGCCAAAGTGTTTTCCATGGATAAATTAGTCGGCTAGATAGATACTGTTTCCTTTCATTACTGCTTACCAAAATCAGATGCTGTGGACGATGTTCAGTGCTTTTTTCCTCCAAAACCATTGATGTCACTCCATCCGTTCATCCGGTCAGCTCCATTTGTTCACCCAGAATCATATATATATTTATATATATATATAACAGCACAGAGATGGAGAGCTGCCCCGTTCTCTCTGCCCATACACTGTGTCCCTTTAATCATAGTTTTCATTTCAGTACATTGAAATTTCCCTTACCAAGGACAACGTCATAAATAAAGACAAAAAAGGGTTTTGCGGAGGAAAATTTTGTACCTGCTCGCTCTCTAACTTTTTGTGCATTAGGGGACCGGCGAAGGGATAAAAAAGACGAGGTGGTCATCTGTGAAAATTTATAATCATTTATTACGCGGCAGGCGGCGAGGCAAAGTAAGTAAAAGCGTGAAGGCAGACATCCATAAAAAGGGACGTGAAGCCCCTGAATGAAAAGCAAAGTGAGTTTCTGTATCTTGTCGTAGATAATGAGGAGCAAGGGCCTTTCTTCTCGGAGGAGTACAGTGCGTTCAGCGTGGCACACACATTTGAGAGGGATTTATCTGTGTTTGACACAGGATGGTGCAGGCATGAGTGACCTCAACAAAAATATTACACTTCCTTTTTTGGGGGGAAATGCATTTTTGTGTTGTGTTATTGATTCCATCTCTATCTACCTACCACCATTCTTTGTTCAAAGTCAAGTTTGCTAAAAGAATTTTAAAAAGAGGAAGATGTTTGTTTATTTATTTATTTATTTGTTTGCTTGCTTGCTATATATTATATATTATCAAATATTTATTTAAACAAATATTTAAATTAATAAAAATTTAAGTATTATTATTATTATTAGTAGTAGTAGTAGTAGTAATAGTATTAAATATGTATTAGCATAAATATTATGAAATATTTGTATAAATAAATAAATAAATGTAATTGACTACTTTACAGTCAGAAATAATAATAATGATAATAATAATAATGGTTATTACCAATTTTTTTTATTTAAACAAATGTAGTTATTATCAAATGTTTAAGCAAATATTTATTTAAATTTATAAAAATGTAAATGTATTATTATTATTATTATTATTAAATATGTATTAGCATGAATATCAACAAATATTTGTTTAAATAAATAAATAAATACGTTTCCTTGACTACTTTACAGTATAATAATAATAAGAAGACGAAGAATAGTAATAATAATAATCGTTATTTTTATTTAAACAAATATTTATTATTTTTTAAAATGTAAGTGTATTATTATTATTATTATTAAATATGTATTAGCATAAATATTAACAAATATGTTTTAAATAAATGCATTTCCTTGACTACTTTACTGTCAGAAATTATAATAATAATAATAATAATGTTATTAGTAGTAGTAGTAGTAGTAGTAGTTGTTGTTGTTGTTGTATTAAATATATATTCATATGAATATTAATAATAAATATTTAAAAAATAAAATAAAATAATTACATGAATGCCAGCTCTAGACTTTAATTTTTATTTGCCATTTTGATTTCTATAGACTAGTATGCAAACAATATTTTGTGTATCTGCCTAACACTTCATGCATTAAGGAAGCGTTAGAACGAGCATGTCCTGATTGTTGGAATGAAATCACACTTGTGAATGCATCATGATCTCTGGGGTGCCGCGTGTTTTTAGAACACAACATTTGCCGGTTCCGAATGCATTCTGTTTTTAAACAACGGAATTGTTTCCTAATTAGTTTCGTTAGCAGATAATTTATTATTTCTGTTTGATGTATAGCAATACAATCCCTTTGCATACATTTCCACCATTTTAGAGCTGAGTTCAAAAGAAATATGTTTTTTCCCCCGAAACCCAAAAAACACAATGCATTTAAATGTGCTCCATTTTTCCATGTTTGTTTTTAGCTCGTCATTAATGAATTAACTTTTTAAACAATTCATCATTATTGTTTTGGTGCCATTTTATTTTTATCTCAATTATATTCTAATTGATCATTTTTCATAATATGCAAGGGATGTTTTTCCCACTTTGTTCGGAACACAATGAAAGCTTAAACACAAATAAGGCCCATGATCAAAAACATGGTAATTCATTTGCAATACTAAATAGGAAATTGACAGTCTAATGCAAAACAATGGGATGCGTGCCGCATTGTCTTTTACCCCCGCTATCACTGGCTATTACTTCCTTAGAGGAGTCGTGGGTGCTGTAGCACAGCAATTGAATTCAGTGTGACTTTAAAGAAAAGCAACGGCTTAAAACAGGATAAAAACATTTAAACAATGTTAAAAAATGTTCTCTGTTCACGTTTCACAAAATATAATTGACCAGCTCCACATTTTTGTATATATTTGTTTATTTACAACAACAACAATGATACGTTTATTAATTAAGAACTTATGTAAACATATGAATATTCATTTACGTGATAATAATAATAATAATATCATGGTTATAATACAATATTAAATAGCATTATTAATTATTTAAATAAATATTTATTTAAAGGTGAATATTTAATTATTTATTTTAACATTATTATTTTTGAAATATTTGTGTAAATCACTGTTCATTTATTCATTTTTTATTCAGATTTATACATATTTATTGTTGATGATGATGATTATTGTTATTAATATATTATTATGTATTAATATTTTCAATTTATTCAAACATACAAATATAAATTTAAATAATAATAATAATAATACATATTAATTTTAAGAATATTTTTGTATCTATTTAAACAATATTACAGATATTTAATAATAATAATAATAATACAATGAATATTTAATTACATATGTAAACATGAATATTTATTTAAATAATAATAATGATAATATACTTTTTTATAATACAATATTATATAACAATTATTAATTATTTAAAGAAATATTTTTATGATGAATATTTAAAGAAATATTTTTATCATGAACATTTATTTATTAATTTAATTATTTCAACATATTATTATTATTATCATTTAAATATTTATGTAAATCCCTCTTAATTTATTAATTTTAACATTTGTTGATAATTATTGTTATTAATATATTAATATAAATATTTTCATTTAAACAAATATTTGTCTATTTAAGCATAGAAATATATATTTTAACAATAATAATAATAATAAATGCTAATTTAAATGAATATTTATGTCTATTTAAACATGCAAATAGTTTAATAATAATAATAATAATGAGGTTTTATACCTTTGTATTATTGTATTACTTATGTATTATTTATAATAATAATAAGTTTTAATATTACATAACAATTCTGAAGCAATTAGAAAGAATATTTATTTCAATCAATATTTATTTAAACAAATATTTATTTAAGTGATTATCTGTAAAGACACCATATTTTATATGCCATTAAATTTGCAAAACAAAAAAAAAAAATCTGTGAGGCATTTAAATATATATGTTCATCCCAGTTTTTTCATTTATCAAAAATAAATATGATTTTAACATGCCACTGTCGGCTCTAGATATTTACCATTTTGGTTTTCATAGACTAGTATACAAAAAATCATTTCTCTTTATTTTCTCTTATTTCATGATAGATGTCATGCTACTTTGACAGTAGCTGATAGTGTAGCATGGCCTCATGGGAGATCTGCGGCTCCCCAGCGCTGATGAAATGAAGAGGGTTGGCATCACAGGCAACACAGTGGACATCTGGAGCAGGCCTCCAAATCACGCTGTCAGTGATGATGCATTGTGATCCAGCTCTGGCAAATTGGACGTTCCAAACTCCTGCCTGATTGATGTGACTCTATCACAGCTGTCAGACAGGACACGGCAAAACACGCCAATAAAAAAAAATACCAATGATCATAATCGCAAGATGTTGACGTAAAATTTTCCTTTACAGAAGGAAAGTAGACCTTGCATTTGTGAACGCATTAAACTCGACTTTTGTGTGATAGTCAAGAACATTTCAGAACTAAAACTAAAAAAGCAGAAAAGTGTTGACCTTAAGTTAGTACAACTTTTAATTTCCTTGAAAAGCCCTAAAGATGTGCAACTTTCTATATTCAATGGAAATAAAGAAAAAAATGGCACTTTTTATTTTACCACCACATGTGCCCTATTTCTTCACTCAAGGACAGTTCATTCATGCACTTTCAGACCTGGCTCTAGAGTTGAAATGGTTTTTCTTTCATCCTCCTTTGAAGAAAGATATTAACTGTAAAGAGCAAAATGTGTATAGAAATATATACAGATATGTGGAAAATCTGGCTCGCTTTGTTGATTTAACATGACATTGCTAATAAGACTAACTTTAAATGAATAATTCGACAAAAATGCCTTCATTTACTCACCTTCTTTTCATTCCAAAACTTTTGTGTTCCTTCGAAGGAATTTAAATCACCTCGAAGAGTAAATGACGATCTTTTGAACTAATTCCTTACTTTTTTACACTTTTGTATCGCAAAACCCAACCGTCGTTTGAGAATTCTTTGAGTGTTGGTCCAACTTTTATTTGACCATCACCTTTTTTTCCTCAACTCGTCATCTTTTCTTTGGCTCTCCAGACCTGCAGATGCACACTTCTTCTCCTGAATAGCCACAACTGTGGAAATAATGAAAAACTGCCATTTTTTTGTCACCACATGTGCTCTCATTCTGTATATCCAAGGGCAGCCTGTTCAAGCTCCCTTTGGTTTTTCTTTTCCCTTTATTTCTTGAGCTTTAAGTCTATCTATGCCACTGATTGTTCTTCTTTAGCCTCTTTCTTGCTTACTTTCGAGGGAAGAATAGGCTTCAGAAACCTTGGGCCAAAGTTCAGTGTGGTGTTATGCATATCAGCTTTAGAAATGCTTTTCATACAGTTCTTACTGATTTCAGAATCTCAGAAAGATTCCTAACAACTTCGTTCTTTTTTTCTTTCTTTCGCAGGGCCTCTTCATCTTCCTGATATATGGAGTGTACAACACTGAGGTAAGTCTGCAGTGCATCTCAAGGCTGACTGAGTGAGTGAGAGAAATGGCATGGTGTTTCTGATGGGACCCCCGCCCCGCAAAAGGAGGGCGGATTGAAAGCCAGCCTTTTTTTCTCCACATGAGCGTCCCACTGCCCTTCATGCTTGGGCTAACTTATATGCATCCAGGCCCACCATTAAACACTGACACTCGGAGTAAAGAGCCAGTCATCCCTCAGGCACATTGGCCAATATTTCACTGCCTCTTTAAGTTTTTAAACTCATGGTCTTCCATTTAACATTCTGACATTAGAGCTCAGCTGCAGTTCAGAGAAACGGATATGTATGCGGGACGCCGCCGTGGAAGATCGGCTGGAAATTTACCTGCACAACGCCTATTAACATTTAGATGCTCTTCCAAAGAGAAAACTATGGGGATGAATTGGGATAGAGGTGAATATGTACCATAATGCCACCTTGAAATTCAAATCCAAATGTGAACAAGCCACATATGAATGACTGTAACCATCGTCATCCAATCTAAGATCAGTTTTTAAGCTTATGTTTCTTGTTTGTCTGCTATTTTGTGTAGGTTGATATTCTCTCTCCATAAATAAGTACATTAATACTTGATTAATAATAACAAAACATCTATCATATCTATCTGTGTATCTGTCTATCTATCTATCTATCTATCTATCTATCTGTCTGTCTGTCTGTCTGTCTGTCTATCTATCTATCTATCTATCTATCTGTCTATCTGTCTGTCTGTCTGCCTATATTTATCTGTCCGTCTCTATCTATCTATCTATCTATCTATCTGTCTGTCTGTCTGTCTGTCTGTCTATCTATCTATCTATCTATCTATCTGT